GCTATATCGATGATTATCCAGGGTCCAGCCACGGGGTGATTGGACGATAACGTCGTTAATATCCATCACGGCATCTTTTGTTCTTTTGTTAGCGGTACATGCTCGTTACTCGATTGAGGTCATTCATGCCTTCTTTGGCTAGTGTCCATCATCATTAACTGCCCAGAGCCCAGAGGCGCCATACAACCATCACCTTCCAGATTCCTCCCTCATTTCGAACCACACGGCGTTTTTCATTTACGCTCTTCCACCGCCACCCAAATGACCGCTTTCCCTCCACTTCAGTTCGGCTCCAGGTACTTACGCCAGTTGAAATACCCGCCAAGAGTCGGAGGAACCTTCGCGTGGTCCCCTCCATTCATCCCCTTTTCATTTCGTGGCTTGCGACGTCTTCCCAGGCTCACGCCAAATGTAAAACTTTCTACATATAACACCTTTTTTTGAGCGTGCACGTTTCTATGAAACGTCGATGTCTCCTTCTACTTTGCCCTTGGCGTTCCTCTTCGAGGCGGTGTTCTTCTTCAGCCTTACATGTCGATCTCAGTTCATGCGACGTGCGTGTTTCCTGTGCCTCCTATGGAGCCTATACGCCACTGTCCTCCGACAACCCTCCACCCCACCATCCAACGCCGATGTTGGACGCGGAACCATTCTCATCTTACAAACGCTTTCCGCTTCTGACCTCCTCGTTTTGACGAAAGATCTTCACCGGTCATTTCGAAGGCTCCATCACAAGGGCGATACGACCACGGACATATCATCTACACCTTTCATGACGCGGTTGATATGGGGGATCTCACTCGTAACGAACCCTCGAGGAATCGGATGGGCGCACGGAAACTCCCTTACGCTCGCCTATAACCGACCTCCTCACCCACTGCTAGACTCTCAAAGGAACTTTTTGATAGTCAAAATCCTGATGTTCGTTGCATGGATCACATACTTTCGGTTATCAAGCTCCATCACTCGTTCATCCACATCTTCCCTTCTCCACATTCAGACCCAAAACGGACTCGCTTGGGAGTTCGTTACCTCGGTGGTGTACGTTTCGAGAGTGGTAGCGTATTGTAATGCGCTTCATTTGGGCTTGGTTGTTTTGATGGTTGGTGTGGGCGTTTGGGATTTTAGAGAGTGTCCGTCGTTGTTTGGGGATTGGATGGAGGGGTATACGTTGAGGAATGTTTGGGGGTGAGGGTTACCTACGCTTATAGTTTTCTTTCTAATGTCTAATCGAGGTTTCTCTTTTCTAGACGTGTTTGGCATCAACTCCTACGACGGGTACGTTTCGTTCCCTCCCTCGCCCTCAGCTTTCTCAGAAGTCGCGCTTACACATAGACACCTCTTCCCGGCTCCCGCAGATCCTCGAGTCACACGCATCGTTCATCCTATCCCTCCTCCGCATCTCTCCAACCACCAGCGACAGCAACGGTAGGAAGAGGACCAGAAGGGTTTACTACATCATACGAAGCCTTATAGCCATTGTCCTCTCCGGTCTCTTACACCAAACTCTGGCGTACATCTCCCCACCTCGGAAGTCCTTCCGAACCGTTTCTTCGTTTCTCTCAGGCCCGGATATGCAGTTTTTCTTGTCTCAAGCGATCGGGATCGTAATCGAATCTTGCGTGGTCGCTGTGTGGAGAACGTCACGTTCGAGTTGGAGGCTGATGGTGGTTGATGGGGGCGCTACTACCGGGAATAGAGAACGATATAGGGATAAGCAGGGGCTGGAGAAGGAGGAAAAGAGCAAGTGGTATTACCCTCTTCGGTTGCTCGGGTATTTATGGGTTCTATTCTGGATTTCGTGGACCGTGAAGAGACATATGGATGGTGTTTCGGAGTTGGGGCTCATGCACGATCCGGAGTTTGATCCTAGGAAGTTTGGGTTGAATCCTCCAGAGATGTGGAAGTTGTTGCAGAGGTGATGGTTTTGAGGTGGGAGGTGAGGACGAGAGGGGGTGGATGGTGGGGAGGGTAGGAAGTAAGGGATATGGGGCGCAGGTTCTAGTTTTTTTTTATTTTTTTTTTGGTACGTCACCTTTCGTGCTTCATCTACCTATACCTTCACTTACCGTTTGACTCCAAATTCGAAAACTGCAGTTTTCTTTTATTCCGAAAATCTATTTGATTGTCCAAAAAAACCGAACTTTCCGTACCTTATTGCGGGCAGGTGACCGATATGAGCGCAGGAGTGGAGACATCTACCATATAAGTCAGCGCTAGCTAGCGATAAGATGAAATTGGAAGGGCACTCAGCATTCCGATGGGTAAGCCTTTTCCGGTGGTCTACGTGCAGAACCAGAAGCCTGACTTGAAGTTCTCAACGCTCACTTTCGATTTTTCCAACTTCTGATGTTCGACGACCACTCTTAAACCAGCAAGCCCACAATAATTTCCGTCCAGCCCGCGTTCAGGATAACCCGCTCGCTGGGCGCTGGAAGTCTGTTGAAATATGGGCGGTAGGAAACCTCGAATAGCCTATAGCCTGTTGAACTACATGAGCGCATCAACTTCCCCAATTTCCGCAATCGAAGAACGGTGATAGGCAGATCCCGATTACCCCACTTCTCCGGACCGACGGATTGTTTCAATCCGTACTCATCGCGGTTTCTCAAGTTATGCCCTTGTTCAGGTTTTGGCCTGGCTCATCCGAAGATTTCCCGGGCGTCGTTTTTTCGTGCTTGACTCCGTTGTTCACGTTTATCAACGGAAAACGCTAGCTTGGACCTGGTTCGTTGCGGAATATCTGACACCTTGGGCGTCACGCGTCGTGACGTCATCTTACGCTTTGGAGAAGGGCTGTATAATAACAAGTAGACAACCGATCTTGAGTACAGTACAATGTTCGAGGTGACTGAACTTTGTATATCTGCCGTACGAGAATCCGAAAGCTGTTGTGTTCATACAGTGGCCCACTCATACTTGACACTTACACATGTAAACTTTCGTCAAAAATGATCTTTGACGACAAGATGCCGCATGGCGGTCCACAGCATACTGTACATGACAAGTAAATCGGCTACGAAGGCTCGTTTCACGCGTTCGCCGTTGCTTTGAGCCACCAAGGGGGAGGGGAGGTGGCTCGTTCAGTCACCGTTAACTATTTACCGAGGGCACTGCTTCGTTCGGGACTTTGATTTCCGGATTTCTCTTGACTATAATACGATGTAGGGTCCATTGCTACGATTCGGACGCGTAAGTCCGTGCACCGTTACTTAGTCTTCCGTCTGGACTTGTGTGAGGAGCCTGATGATCGTAAGCGGTACTTACCCCGCCGGGAACTAAACTCGATTCATTCCAGGTTAAACTTTAAATCTCTATCCGGTCCCAGCCGCATCATACATGCTGCCAGACATACCGACACTGTAAGACACATCGAACACGTATTTTTTTCTACAGCCTTGAAGGAGATCCTACTGACAAGCAGCAGTGAAGGTATGACGCTTCCGAATATCAGCCCATCTCATAAAATGTGTCGATATTACGAATAGAAATGGCACCTGTAATGTTTTAGTGAATCTGTCTTTGTTTGTTTTATTTTTGTTTTTTTTTTCGGGCACTCGAGCTTTCAGATTTGGGATTGTGGCTTTGAACCCTAATCAGCAATGATGGTTGACGCAATCGTTCGTGTTATGAGTTAGTGGTTATGTTATGGACATTGGATGAAAGGACAGGCATAATACAGATACGCGATAATTTCATTCTGTTCGTAATCTGGTGACCAGGAAATCGTTTCCCTGCTCGTAAAACACCAGAGCCCTGAGCTCAATAGACTCCCTCGGGGGGCTACCTGCAGGCGTCGAGGGATCGATAAAAGCGGTATGGGGGGTCAGAGTCGCATTACCCTCCTGAACTGAATCATAACTTCAGAGCATAATTTAGACATTGTTTGGTCCCTAAGGGTAGACAAGCAAGCAAACGGTAGCTCACCACTTGATCAAGACCACCTCATCTAATCCCATTCCCTTCAAATATTTCCACTCATGTTTTGGATTCCACTTCACCCCACACGTCTCCCCGATTCTCCCAGGGAACATCATCTTGATAGGCGCTAAATCCTCTTTCGTATTCACGCTCCTGTAATCACACAACGCTAATGGCCGATCGTGAGCTGGATGATTGATAGGACGCCAAAAGTTGACTATTTGGAATCTGTGGGTTTTTAAAAGACGTTCGGCTTCCTCTTCTTTGCCGATAGAGGCGAAATAACGATGAGCGCGAGAAATAGCTGCGGAAGGTGTCTGGTCAACGTGGACGTTTCCTGCCGGGATTCGTTTCTTGGGGTCGTCGATACCAGTTTCACCTTCGACGCGGCGCCTGACGGCTGAGAAAGAATCGTCAATGAATTATTCCCATCCCCGAGAGAGAGACTCACTATGATCAAAGATGAAGACCTTTGAAGCTCCCGTAGCTCTCTTGATGATGTCAACGCTCTCGGGATAATAATTTTCTTGAACCTCCTTATCGTCATCAAAGGTCTTGACTTTTGTGGGCTGATTCAAGAGGAACTGAAATCCGGATGTGTCCAAGGTGAACTTGTCCTCTTTCCCGCGAACGTTTTCGATCGAGACCACACGTTTGTCGTCTTTGTAGTTGACAACGGGGGTTCCCTTTGGCGGAGTGCTCAGATAACGAACTGGTTTGGTGCCATCAGGAGGTGGAGAGAAGTAGAATAGATCTGCTGTAACTGTGCTGTTGACTGTCATAGTATAGTACCCGGTATTGGAGGGTGAAGGGTATTTCGAAGAGGATTATGTATAGGTATGATTCATGAACCCTTGAAGGTTTTATAATCAATTACAAGCGGATTCTGTCACCGGTTCTTCGAGATAGTACTTACATGGCGTCATGATGGCGAGAAGTGAATATGGGACTTTTACTAAGTTTCTTAGTCAAGGTGGTCAGTGGCGTGCTTCAGAAAGTTAGAAATTTCTCAGGTTTCCCAGAAACGGCCTTACATTCTTTGAAGTGGTGATATTAATGTTATAATCTTTTTGTATAGCGCCCGCCTAGCTCAATCGGATAGAGCGTCAGACTTTTAAGTGCGGGTGTACTAAGTGATCTGAAGGCTGCGAGTTCGACCCTCGCGGTGGGCTATCATTCCTCTTTTTTGTAGAGCCCTTATGTATGGCCAAGACAACAAACTTTCAAAGACGACCGTCTGTCCTACCTGAGCGCCTTGTCAAACAGTGGGCCTACTTTTTCAAGCGTAACTGCGATGGGAGTGATGTCCCCGTGCCATACCGTCAACCCCACATTGGGCTTTCTCGTAGTCAACATCAGGATTTTTTTTGTTGTCTATAGTTGATATGACGGGTTTAATGTTGCTACTACCTCGTAAGACTTTCCGCAGGTTAATGAAATACCTCATTCAAGTTAATGAAAATCATTTTCCACGGCCGCGACTTGTGATACTGGTTGCAATACCGATTGATGTGGATCACGGGCGTTGGTTAGTCTTTCCCTTTGATAATCATATTAATCACCATCGGTTAAGACGAAACACAGAATGGAGAATACGCCATTGATGGCGGCCAGACAAGCCCGTTGAAGGTTTGAAGCAATCTTGGCTATTCTGCCATTCATACTCACTCCCACAAGTTATACAAACCCTGTCAATAACTGACTATGGGCGCTGCTCTTGGAAAAACGGCGTCTAGAATTTATTGATATCTTTCATGGTCTAAGAGGGGGTCGATGCTGTGAACCGGCTTTCCGGTCGTCTTGGTAAACATTTGGACTCACACGACGGGATTTCACATCAAGGCCGGAAGAAGATTGAAAAAATTCAGGCGAAACGCTCGATGTGCCTCAATGTGCCCGCCTAAGGAGATCCGGCGACCGTGGTTCAAACATACATATCTTACATGACACTTTCCTAAAGTACCGAAAGGGGGGGGTTGAATCTCTTGTCATTCATTCCATACCCAAAGAATGAAAATAATTATGAGAAAGGTTTTTTATACGTGTACCTAGGCAACCTCCCGTTATTCATCCTCCCTTTGGGAGGTTTCGCGAGAACCTCGGATGGGTGTATGGAAACGCAGCCGAAGGGAGAGGGCCACCGATCCATCATGAGCAAATCAAATGTGGAGGCACGGACTTGAAACGCGAATATTGATAGTATCTGCCCGGTGGTTTTCTATCTCCAGGAGCTTCAGATCCCCGTATATACGATGCGCATTCGATCCATGGTGGCAGATGAGATCCAAGGCACCACGCAGCGCTAAGCAAGATTGAAGTAAACTTCTCTCTTGATTTTGATTTTCAAGGCGTCAAGTCTATGATCGAGAGAATTCAGAAGTGAGCGAAAGATCGTACAGATCAGATGTAACTGACCTGACGAGCCTTGACGGAACTTTTATTTTTGGTCAAACAAACTCTTCCTCCAGGGAGGAGTCGCAACCGGATAGTGTGAGTACCTTTTGATTTGAAAAATTAAGGGTTCTTGCCAACGTATTTCAATTCAGATTTCATTAGAACCCTGATTTCCATTGAATGTGATAGTCCCTAGATTGTAGCGGGACACGTCACTTTTTTATTTTGGAGACCAATTGACCAGGGAAGGATTACTATGAGGATGACTCGAGAGGGAAGAACTACTTTTGCGCAGGGTGACGCATTGACCCGCATCCGGCTCTATCGGCACGTGGCGTCACGTGCTTGACAACTCCGAACCGGCGAACTGGGACTCTTCTCAGAGCCCTTGAACCTCAGCTCATTACTTTCTTGTCGCTTCCAAGCTTCAGCTTATCTTTCAATACAAAATTGCAAAAGTATTTGAGCAAAGTTCAAGAACAACCTTAATACTTGTACATTTGATTCACTACCCTGAAGAGTCAAAACAACGTAGAGTAATCAAGTACTTACTCAATAGTAATAACTCCTTGAAGCGGCCGCGATATCCTCGCAGTACCATAGAAGCCAGGGTGTGTCGTAGGCCTAAAGGCCGAGGTTGATTTTCGAGGCTCGGCGCTACCCATTCCCGGCACTTCGCACTGTCTTTTTCGCTACTTTAGCTGTGCTATTTGATTGTACAGAGACAACTGTGAGCTAAAGGAACTAAGGAAGACTAAGAAATATTGATTTTAAATAAGGAATACCTTTTTGAGGTTTTGAGGTTTTTGACCCCGAATTCCGCCTGGAAATTGCCTGAGTTATAGACTTGTAATTTTCTGTAAGCAAATCCGTGATAGAAAAGCGGCGCTTTGACCGGTCTCCGTTGCTTTTGATGGCAATTTGTCACAGGAGAGGGCATATGCGATGTCCAATCCATGATACTCCCCGTCTTTGGCCATTTTTGGTACTTACTTAGGTCAATTTGGCAAGTTTTTCCGCACATCCGGACGGGGGGCGGATCGGAGTCTGGGTAATATCATACCCTTTTTTGGTACATCCCAGTACCAGTGTACTTACTCATAGCGTCAACTCCGCCCTTTAGGCCTACACCACACGGCGACTTCCGTTTCCCCCATTGGTCAATGAACAACTTTACGGAAGTTCAAAGGTGGTTTGCATTGTAAACATTGGTACTCCTCTCACATCCGATATCCGAATTCAATGTCCATCACTACCGTGTTTGTATGGAATCCTTTTCATGAAAGACCTTGTCTCTAAATTGTCTTTGAAAATGCCTCGGCTGCTTCAAGTTTTAAATACAGCGAAGGGCCGTGCCTAGTGTGGAGAGGATTTACATCTCCGAATGCTAGGCAGTTCCCGTCAATTGTGGGTGCGTGGCGTGTTTCAGATTATTCCGGGAGGCAACAGATACAGGCTTTACTCCAATTTTCAAGAGCCTTGGAAACCGACTAATTGACACAATTATATTGGCGCATATGGTGGCAATATGCATCATCCTTAGGCATTGCTCTCGTGGTCAATCGATCCTACCCTGACAGGCATCATCTCTTGCTTGCAATCGCTCACTCATCACGTAAAGGCAACCACTTTCTCCTTGACTGCCGTACGGTAATGAGCTGAATGAAGGGTTTGTCAATCGCAGATTTCAAATTTGATTAGATGAACGATCCCTGCTAGTTGCTCATTCCTCCTGTTCAACGTTGATTTGTGTAGCTGAAGCCTTGGTCCTTGGAAAGGCTCTGGAATGAACCCTTCACGATAATGACACCCAAGCGACGCATAACTTTGAACAGAAATTGTTAAACGAGCTCCGGGCCAAGAATCTTATAAATCGCCGGTAGGCACGGAACGCATTACGGACGCACGTCGGACTCGATACTCTTGTACGTTCTGGAAGGTCTCTTGCCCAATGTCCATCGGTTCATCTATTCGGTTTATCGCACCGTACATCACGAATAACTTGTCGGCCTCGACGCGTAGTTATTTCAAACCATTGACTGAGTAACTGTAGAGTTGGACAACGGGGGGGGCAGAGTGTGATCCCTTGGTGATTTCCAACGGCTCTTCTTCCGAGAAAACTAGATGTTCGACCCCGCTCGTCAACTGAACATGCCAATGGACAACACACATCTATCCGGAAAACAGAATAACTATCTAACCTACGTGAATACCGTAGTTTCTTTACACGGACCCATTACACGCCAGCCTAGACCGAGTTTTTTTCCCGCTATTTCTCGCTTCAACGGACCGGACGTCCGTAGTGGGCACTGCATGATGTATGTATATGATGGACGAGGATTGGCTCAAAAGAGCTTTTTGGGCACCGTCAATCCATTTTACCCTTACTCTACCCATGGTCAGAATTTCTCCCGCCCTTGTCTCCACTTCCCGCGCACGTCGCTGGAAGGTAACTTCGATAGTTGTTTACGATGCCCCCCCGTCCGTCTCGCAACTCGTCAGTTTGGTAACCAACGGTCCGACAAGCGACGGTAAAATTATTTTGTGTGGGTGCTCAGTTAAGTGAAGTGACCGTGGGTCGACGAGTTCTCGTCGGCGGGCCTCAGCCTCAAGAGTTTATGCCAATGGGTGATCATGGTGAGATGTAGACTGTAGTCCATCCCGTCGCTCAGGGCCCCGGACCCGAGCGTGCGTTTGATGATGGATGACGTTCTTGTCAATCCCTGACAATCCCCTGATCATGTTGTTCGTACAAGCTTTCCTCCGCAGCATTTTTTTTCTTTTTCCCTGTCCTCTTCATCGACGTGCAAAACTTGAGTTTTACCAACCGATCTAGGCTCCCTGCTTCTCGGGATGTGGTAGAAGAACGGTATGTGCGAGGCCATGCTTGATGGGTGGGTCGTAAAAAACGCTTTTTTTAGCGGGAAAACACCCTCGTTATCTATTGTTGTCTCGTCGCGCCCAGCAGTCCGCAGTCCGGCTAGCCCGATTTTGCGACTTTTTTTGGTTCCGTAGATTTACAGTTTTTCGATTAGGTATACTAATTACTTACAGCAGGGGCTGTAGCACTTAATGTACCGTTTCACTAAATGATTCTTGAAGCCTAACGTCGACGCCACAAAGCTGATTGTTTTACAGCCCAGCCCATGCGGTGAGATCTCAAGTTCACAAATCTGTTGGTTTTGAAGGATCTGGTTTCAAAGAATTCGCCGAAATCACAAATTAATGACATACTACCTCCTATCGTTTCGTAGAAGAAGAAGAAGAAAACGTTTAGTTCACAAGTCATTTCGATCATTCATTTTAGATTATCTACACCGTGGATCTGATAAAAAAAGTGCTTCAGGTTTGGCAGTTATCACTGCATTTCAATCAAATCAATAGGTCCCCTTTTCGTACCGTCTAGCCGGCCTCCAGGCTCCCGCCCCCCTTGAAAGTGTTCAAGACTGATGGTAGACAGTGTTGGTAACTGATGTGCGGCGAATACCTTCCATGTTTAACGTTTTTGACAATTCGTCATTTGACCTACAAACTACTTTTTCTCAGGAACCTTCAAAGCGGATAAATGAATTGTAATCCTCGAGCACTCTAGGTTCATTTCGAGTGAGGTACGATCATTGGATTTCGGCACAACGGATAGAACCTTTCAAAACGTCAAGCTCTGTAGGGTTGTCCTGCCCTCAGCCACCAAGGTTTCTAGATTGCGGGAAATGAAAAGTCTATTGGAATGACGAAGATAGGTAAAAGGAGCCCCCTGATAGGGATGATGATTTTCGTT